AAACATCTACACTGTGTCATGGTCCGACCGCTGCGACGCTTCTTCCAGCCTTGCCCGGCAAGTGCGGAGAACACGGAGAGGTAGTCAATGGGCAGGTATACGCAATACGTAACCAAGCCATCGGAGGTGGTGTAGAACGATTACTTCTGTCAGAGGCGATGTCATCGGTTTAGCCTAAGTCAAGAACTCTGTTCCCTGGGAGGAATTCGACTCCACTGTTTGCTAGACCGGACAAAGCATTCTGTAGAACATCCCCTATGGCAAAGTTGGAAAGGAATGGGGATATAGGGCAGCCTTGTCGAACTCCACTGGGGACGGCGAAGGGTGGTGAAAACTGGCCATAAGCCCTAACCCGACCCGAGGTATGACGATACAGCTCTTTGAGGATGGGCACATACTTCTCAGGTACTCCGTTCCTCAACAAACAGCTCCATAGTGTAGTCCAATCGACAGAGTCGAAAGGCGCGCGGTTGTCTAAGAACACAATGATCGCTGGTCTTTGATAGGCATAACGGTGCTCTAGCAGCCGTCGAAGGGTGAAGATCTGACCGATGCATCCACGACCGGCGCAAAACTCAGCCTGCTCATTATATACAACCGGCGGAGAATGACGGACGCCAACAGTTTTGACGCTATCGGGATAAGGCTTATACCCCTATGATTGCCGCAGTCACTGCACGGGCCCTTTCTGAAGATGGGGACAACAATCGAGTCCCCTCACGATGAGGATACCTGTTCAGTGTTCCAAACTTTAGAGAACAGAACTTGTAATTCTCTAACAAGTTTTATTCCACGATCTTTAAATGGACCTGGAGGAAGGCCATCGGAGCCCGGCGCTTTGTGACGCCCCAAGGCCAGGAGCTCCTTACGGATTTCCGCCTCAGAGTGTGGATCTGTCGAGACAGACCATGGGACGTGTGCCGGAAAGGCTATGCGAGAAGCTGACGCTGGTGGCCAGCTAAATTGTGCTTTGAAATGCTTTGCCCAGTATGCATGGTGTCGCTGTTGATTATGAATGGGCGAACCGTTAGCTTCGCAGATCGTTTCGCTCACACCCAAAGCTTTCTTCCGGTGACCCGGATGAGATGGAACAGCTTACGGGAATTTCCCATGGCGGAAGCGCGTTCCATTTCTGATGCGCGTTGAGACCACCAGATTTCGCGGGCTCTACGTAAGCTTACGTTAAGTTCACGTCTCACTACAAGCCGTGTTACGTTATGCTCGCTGCTGATCGGAAGTGACCGACAAGCATTAAGAATGCGCAGAGATTCAGCCGAAATCCAGGGTGTCACGACGCAGCGTGTTCGACCACAAATAACTAAGCCAGCAGAATGCAGAGTATTCTTGATAAGCGGCCAGTGCTCATTGATGTTATCGGGTGGGGTTGGTTCTAGCGCGTTTTGGAAAGCCTTTAGATAAGCTGATTTGGACAGCTTATCAGTCTAACCATTGTTATGTCGTGCGTTCGGAACAAGTCTTCCATCGGAAGATTTCGAGAACTCATAGGAAACCCATCACGGTCTACTAATATCGTCCTCCGAAATTCATCACTGTTCATGAAACCGGAAGTTGTTCACTCCATACACATACGGCATCTTTGTGCTCTACATCGGATAGCTTAACTAGTCTACAAGGGTATTTCTATCTCCAGAACAGGAAACTTGAAAATAACTAGGAATCAAAAGACTTGTTCTTGATGGTGGCAAAACGATATTTATACTATAAAGTTAAAAATTAGGTGTGACAAATCGGTAACCTCTAGAACGAACGAATATCACGGTAAGCCCATTGAGTGAACTCACTTGGGGCTGTGGTAGAAAGATAGTGGTGCGACTTTTGGGTACAACTTGGTATAGCCGTAATGTGGTTCTGCCGGAAACGTGGATATTTTTGTGTGGGACAATTGTGTTTGCATACTCAGCACGGGGCACGTCCATCGACCGGTTGTTTGAGGGAATGTATCGCTCAAAACCACCGAACGAAATGAAACCATCCGCATCAAAACTCGTGGAATGTGTCACGGAAAGATTCGGTGATGTGGTGAGCGGGGAATGGAACCGTACTATTGGGGGTTGGTACGGTTTAGGAGCTATGCGCCGCAACGCTTGACTGGATTTTTGTTTGTCCGTATGTTGTGATTCGTCCTGAATGATAGGGAATAAAAAAATGTTAGCTACGAATGTAGTGACTACAATAGGGTTCCTCGTCTTAGGTGTTTGACTCCAAAAAGGAAATCGAATACAATTTCACAATGAAATTATTTGACCCGTAGGGAGAAGAAGATCATGATTGTTGGCAAGTGATGGACGTGACATGAGTCTTTTACTCACCAACCCAAGTGGAAACGGATTTATCAACCATAGAAAAATTTTACTCTTCATATTTCACACTTCATCTATAGGATGCCCAAGGGGAAGATTGTAATGCAGGCACTAAAACCACGACAGATTGAAGTATGTACCACTGAGGCGGTGGGCTACTTAGTTTACAACCAGCAGAACTGTACGCTACCTAGAAGGGACTCTGGATCGCTATGTAGCGAAACGTGGCAGACTGCTTCAACGAAAAACCGATCGTGGCAGACCCGAGAATGTGGCGGGTTTTGACCTGGCAAACAATCACTCTATAACAAAAAGCGATAAATGTCCGCAGCGAACATCGTTGAGTGCAAGTATGGCTCGAAAATAAGTAAGACTAGTAACACCATCCGGTTGCTCCACACGTTGCACTTGACCGTGCAAGGGTAACGTGTATCCTCGAAGACAACGGATGAGTGGTACAGAGGATGCTAATGTATGACACTAGGAAGAATTCTCATTTCTTCATAAAACTGATTGGTTCCCATCTAGGCGGGTCACCTGAAAGTAAACGTAAGTAAATGAAATTTCCTAAATACAGGATGAATGAGAGTAATATGCCAGTATCCAAAGTTTAGCGTTGTTTTTGTGTGAAACAAAGCCGACAAACTTACTGAAACCGCAATACGATCACGGGTAGCGGGCAATTTTTCCGAGTGGGATCCAGTTATTGATGTAGAGGGCGTTTCAGTAGTACTCTCCGTAACCTCACAGTCGGCAGAACTGACGGTTTTACCGAATGCGAATGGTCCCGAAGTGTTGAGCGCACCATCCGGATCCGGTTTGACTTGTGGCATTGCTAAAATCAACACCGCAGTGAAGTGTTTGTGGCAAACGCAAACTAGAGCAAGCGACATACCGACCCAACGCTACGTTAAATTCCCTAGTGTCCAGTGAGACCCTAGGTTGAATTTACCGGCAACAATGATCGAACAACAGGATCATGTTTCTACGGAGTTTGCCTCTCCTGTTCATCATATCAGAATGTATAGTAAAGGAAATGCACCCACCAAACCCACCAACGGAACCAGCTGCCATTTGCGAACTCATGGAACTATGCATGCAGACGTACTTCAAATTCAAGGGTGAAATCTACGAACAGCTGAAAAGAAGACCAATGGGATCGCCAATTTCTGGATGCATAGCCGAAGCCGTAATGCAGAAGCTGGAGAACAAGGCACTACCAAGAATCATGCCAAAACTTTGACTCCGGTATGTTGACACATTCGTCATCTTGAAGAAGTTGGAACTAGAACGAACATATAACATTATCAATAACACATTTAATGGCATTAAGTTCACAATGGAGACCGAAAAGGATAAACCGGCATTTTTAGACATCATCAGAACGCCATCAGGAAAACTGGAGACAACGGTATACCTCAAATCCTAAACTTCAAAAGTAATCACCAACACAGCCACAAAAGGTGTTGTGTGAGAACCCTGTTCGGAAGAATCCAAACGCACTTCAGCACCGACATACTGAAGAAGAAAGATACCTCAAAGTGTTTGATCGTAATGGCTACCCCCGAAACTTCATCAAAAGAACTTTGGCTCAAAGAACGAGGGAAACAACAGACGGAGACTCGAGAACAAGAACGACCCTGACGTACATCAAGGACGTTTCGGAAATGACAGCAAGACTGCTCAGATCATATGGAATCCAAATCGCCCACAAACCGATCGCCTGTCCAAGGGGATTTCTGTCAAAACCCAAGGAGATAACAATGGAGGAGGACAAGAGCAGCGTCATCTACAAAATAAACTGCAATAACTATTCAAAACACTACATCGGACAAATCGGGTGAAAACTGTCAACAGTTAGCTCATCGTCGTCTACGCACGTTATGAGGAGAAGCTGGGACGGGAGCTAGGAGAACCGCGACATGGCGGAGTAGACCAACAATGGAATCAAATTACATTTGCGATGCACTCAGCAGCAAACTTTGCTTGTGGGACTGAGCCCGAAGCTCGCCGAAGGCATTGGATCTCTCAGGAGTCAGTANAGTCAGTAATCCTAATGGATCAAAAGCGAACGATCCTAATCTGCCAGGATTAGCATAAGGACCGGTGTCGCCTGCAACGTCAACTCAGAAATAGCCTCAAGAAAGATCGTGAAAATTGGTGGGCTGAAGTATCTAGTGAAATGGAGGTANTCAATTACCAGCTGACTTCGCAGCATTTGGGCGGGTGAGCGTATCCCTTTGTCTTGGGGTGAATCGTTGATCATCCCGATTTTCAAGAAGGGATCACGCAACGACTGCGATAATCACCGTGGGATTAGTTTAGTTCCGATAATCACAAAAGTGTTGAGTTCTGTGATACTTCGCCACCTGACACCCTTAAGGAAGAGGAATATCCGCGAACAAGCCGGATTCCGACCAGGTCGCGGATGCATCGACCAAATCTTCACTCTGCGTCAAGTTCTCGAAATGCGTCACACATCGTCGGCCAACAATCGCAGTGTTCCTTGACCTAAAAGGAGCCTTCGATTCAGTTGACCGTGAAGCTCTTCTGGGATCGCTGCTCCGCAAAGGAATGCCGCGGAAGTATGCAAACCTATTGCGGTCGTTGTATCTGCATACTTCTGGTAGCGCAAGGGTCTACGGTGGGCTAAGTAAATCGTTCGAAACCAGGAACGGTGTCAAGGGTGCCCTATTTCGCCATTCCTGATAAATTTCGTCGTAGACGAAGTACTGGAGAACGCACTAACTGGTCTCCAGAATGTAGGTATTGAATGGGCAGCTGGAGAAAAACTGTGCGATTTAGAGTACGCTGATGACGTCGTATTCCTGTTCGAATCTATGGAGGATGCGCAATGCGCTCTTGACAGACTAGCAAGTTCTGTCGCTCCGCTCGGCATGCGCTTTGCACCTTCAAAGTGCAAAGTGATGCTACAAGACTGGGTGTCGTTTACCCCAGCGCTGATGCCTGATGGTCAAGAATTAGCTGTAGTGGAATGTTTCACCTACTTAGGTAGTTGCGTTTCAAATGACGATAGCATAGTCAATGAAGTAACCGCCAGCATTTCCAACGCTCGGGCAGTTTACGCAGGATTGAAAGATCTTTGGTGAGGCGCGATGTTTCGTTGAAACTGAAAGGTCGCGTATACTGCGCTGGTGTGCGGCGAGTTTTGCTCTATGGTTGCGATACCCTAAATTTGCGCGTGGAAGATACTCGTCGTCTTTAAGTATTCGACTGCAGATGTTTACGTAATTTGGCTCGGGTTGGATGCAGCGAGCTTGTAAGCAACTCTGAGTTGAGGCGTCGCGTATTTGGTAATGATTCGATGTAGAATTCGTTGTCCCATCGAATTCAGATTAGTCGGCTTCGCTGGTTAGGACACGTATTGCGCATGCCCTGCCATCGTCTGCCTTATTCGCAGTTGCGGCTCCAAGTTGGAAGAAACCGCGTGGTCAACAGATGACGTGGAAGCGAGGCACGAAGAAATGCATAGAGCGATTGGGTAGAATCGGTGTCTCTCGCCTTCCAGGTTGGGGTCAGAAAGACTGCAACTGGCTGGCTGGAGACACTGAAGGATATGGTGACTAACCGACAGCAGTGGCGTTCTTGTTGTCATTTCTTATCCAGTCAGAATACTTGAAAAGTTATGTATGCACACTTAGATTGTGTACTCTATGTGTTGACCATAGAGGTTCTTCTTCTTTGCCTCCCTCCAAGTAGGTCCCATCCCTCTTCATCTTGTACTTTGTCACTTGATTTGTGTATATTGTGCGCTTGGGAGCGATCAGTGAAATGATTGTGTGATGTATGATATGATTATGTGGAGCACATACATTTTTACTATTGTGTATGAACACGTCGAATGTGAAAACTATGTGGCGATGAAGACGCTCAGTAAACTCTACATATGTCTTTAAAATGAGGACTTAGTTTGTCATATCCTCACAACTGCAAACTCTCAATCTATTCATTTAGAAGTTCAAGCCCCCTACAAGGGATTGCCATTTCAGGTCAGCTGCTATCGAGGAAAACTGAGATGATGCCGTCAGAGATGCAATTATTAGTGGAATTCAGTCGAAAAAACAACGCTCACTGTAAGATAGTTTGCTGAATTTTCAAAATGTTCGATTACGCGAGAGCCTTCGAAATGGTAGAGGAAAAATTCACGTCCTATCAGAACTTTCCCATCACCTCGCCCACAGCTACTATGCGTTTACTCTTATCCACACCATCCTCGTCTCCGAATGAACGTCCCAACCACTGCATCGTTGTCGCAGTTCGCCCGAAGTAATTTCTGTGGCCTAAACAAGCACTCTTACCCAGAGCGTCCAACAAGAAATCTTCTTTACAAGGGATGAGTAGAGTCACTTTCAAACGGTTTATTTACCATAAAAGCACTGCAAACTATCCTACATGTCTCTCAAAATCTTTGATGGATCTCGAAGTACATTGTCCTACTCTGATACCGGGAGCTCAGCATGCTATATCTCCGAGAGTTTAGTGCTCACCAATAAGTGGAAAATATACCCGACGCAAAGAAACTACCACAATTGGGCCAAGTTCCCTATCGAGCAATACCAAGGGTTACTGCTTATCTCCATCGAACACAAAAACCATGTCCATATATGTTTAAAGCTACTGGTGCTGAATAACCTATGTCCGGATGTCCTCATCGTTGTTTCTTCCAGCCCGGACCAATGCTTGCAAATGGCGCAAATAGACATTGCTCAGACATTCGTAGTACGTACCCTAGCCACCTCAGACGATGCAGTGAAATGGTTTTTCCTACTGGAGGACTATCTGACAACAACACGTCTGGCCTTACCGTTACTCACGCGATGCTCACACCTTACGCGGGCAATGTTGCGCAGACAGCGGTTGTCGAAGACGGATAGTTGTTAGACATGATCTGCTCGGAAGCCCAATTTCGCGGACACAGACACACCTTCACCGAAAGGGATATATTTCGCCCCGGCGCCAGATATGCCGCAGATTAGAAAACGCTAATCTAGCTTTGATCACGCGTTGAGAGATCTCGCCCACACCTCCGCGAACCGTTATACAACTCCCCAAGCAGACAAAGCTTTCACCTACGTAAAGATTTGATCCATACAACCCGGTCTGCTCTTCGGGGATTTTTCTTTCTCTAAATGGGCTAACTGCGTCATAAAACGGAAGCTAATAGCTTGGACACCATAGGAATCTGACTTATTCCAGTGGTTTGAATAGACTTTGTGATAGCCCTTCTTGTAAATGGATGTAAAAATCGATTCTCCCCATGTATGGGACAGTTTTGTCCACTCACATCTTCGAAACATTCTGGCTCTCTCACGAGAGCTTCTCCGCTAGGTCTAAAGAGGGTCAGGCCACAAATGTGTAAACTGGCTGAGTCCATTGTGTTTTGAATTGGCGCCGTGTTGATCTACTCTCCTTGGTGGGGTCCTAGTTAGCCTTGTGGACTACAGTCAGACGATCA